ACTGGTTTGAACTAGGAAGAGAAAAGTACTTAAGCAGCTGGGATTTGAAACTTTACAACAGCAATAAATTCGAATAATGATCGTTGATAAAGTCTCTTTATGTTCTTAGTGTAGTCTACTTGTGTGCCAAGTTATACTGAAATAAGACCAAACCTGTAGGAGGAGTAGCATTTTGAAGCAATTTTAGACATTTCTATTTTTAGTAACCACGGCAACACAGTTCATCAAAATTAAAATTCGATACACAGAATTATGTATCTTACTGTATTCTACTTGTGTGCCAAGTTATACTGAAATCAGACCAAAACTGTAGGAGGAGTAGCATTTTGAAACAATTTTACAGAAATTTCTATTTTTAGTAACCACGGCAACACCGTTCATCGAAATCAGAAACCGATACACAAATTTATGTATCTTAGTGTATTTTACTTGTATGCCATGCTATACTGAAATCAGACCAAAACTAGGAGGAGTAGCATTTTGAAAGAATTTCACAGAAAATTCAGATTTTAGAACTATGGTACAAAGCACTGTTTATTCCTTATTAAAAACCGATACACAGAATTATGTATCTTAGTGTATTCTACTCGTGTGCCAAGCTATACTGAAATCAAACCAAAACCATAGGAGAAGTAGCATTTTGAAAGTATTTCAGAGAAATTTCTTTTTTTAGTAACCATGGCAACACCGTTCATCCAAATCAAAAACCGATACTCAGAATTATGTATCTTAGTGTAGTCTACTCGTGTGCCATGTTATATTGAAATAAGAACAAAACTGTAGAAGTAGCATTTTTAGAAATTGTTCACAGACAGACGGACGGACGCCGGACGCATTACTATCGCATAAGCTCTTCTGGTCTCTGACAAGTAGAGCTAATAATCAAGAAAAGACAAATATATGGTTAGGTCATCAAAAAATATTCTTCTCAAGAACCAGGGGCCACAATAGGGAATCCAAGTTTTACATTGAAAAAATTTAGTGGAAGCATCCTCAGGTAGTATACATGTAGGATGCATATTAAGTGGGCATATTTCCATTCTTGAGAAAAACACTACAAATACACCAGTAAATACTTAGAAGATATGTATACATGTAATATACATGGAGCGGCCTGATATCCGCCCCCGATAAATATACTCCATCTGATCATTGAAAATGTGAGAAGTTAAGACAGATGGCCAGAAGACAGACTGACGGACGAACATCTAGATGGACGACGGACAATGGGTGATCAGAACAGATCAGATCAGAACAGATCAGATCATGTACTAGGTTAAAGTTTTTGTGGACAAACAGAGAGGCAGACAGACAGTTGGACATGACAAAAACTATATACCCCCGAAACTTTGTTTACGAAGGCATAAAAGTGCAATTACTACAATCCTCCTTGGCCTTAGACACAGTTAGTAAATTATACTTTAACGTGCACATGCACTGTTGTATCAAATGTGTACAAATTCAAAAAAAATTATTTACAATGTGATTCCTCATAAACATTCCATCATTTCTTCCTTGGAAGCGCACACCATCGTCATTAACTAGATTTAAATATCCATCCCCGTTCGGCATCACGTCACCTCTCTGGATTCCTATGTTATGAAGGGCAACGCAGGCTGTAATATAAATGGCTGCCTGTGGGGGCTCTGTTGCCATTTCATGGTGCAAGCGACGCTTCAAGACGCCAAAGGTCTGCTCAATTAATACTCGCGTCCTGCACAATGACTGGTTGAAATTCTGCTCTGCATTAGTCGTTGGATTCAGTATTGGGGTCATCAGGAATCTCCTGCATGGATATCCTGAATCCCCCAATAGTAGCCCATCATGCTGACCTAAAATATAATTAAATTAATTCAATGTTTTTTTTTTTAAAAATCTAAATTATTACATGTATCCATATTTTCATTTATTTCAAAAACAAATTGGTCATTTTCTTAAACAAGAGGCCCAAGGGCCTTGAATGGCTCTTCTGATGAATTGTACTATCTATCACATACTCCTTTTTGAAGTCTTCAGCTCTTATTAATAAGTATCCAAAGACCCAAGATGCATCAACTGACAAAGTTTGATGATCAAAGCTAGGCCTTAAAATGTCCAAAATATGTCTCAAAATCAATTTGAAAACAAATGCCTCAAAATTATAAAAGAAGGTCACTGTGACCTATTTTTGAGTTAACATGATGTAAAGCCCTAAGATTCACCAGTCGTACAAGATTTGATGATCCTTAACTTTATAGTACACAAAATATTAATTAACAAATTTATTTAGTGTAAATTTTGGTCAACTTTGAAGTGACTTTGAGACCACGCCCTTTGCCCCAGGGTAATTTGTTTAAGAGTCCCAATGCTAGTTTTAGTTTATTAATGGTTAATTTTTTTTACTACTTCCACAATAAAAGCTTTATGTACCCCTTGGGCTAAGGATACCCTGTTACAAAGTCTCTCAATAATTGGCCAGCAATTGAGGGGTTCTTGAGTTATGGTCTAAAAAGTTCACCACACACAGCACAAATTTTAATGGCCATAGTATATTATACATGTAGCTCTTTGAGCCTTTGGCTCAGAAGAGCTGATAAAATTCAAAAGATCTTATAAATTTGGAGACCTTAGGAACAGATTGGACTTATTTTATAATTATAACTAATAAGCTGTTGCACTTGGTCAGTTCAGAAATTCACACCGTCATGTAGTAACATTTATTGTTTCGACCTGTTAATGGATAGATATCTATTACAATAAATAACAGTTTGTTGTAATTATACAATTCTCATTATTATTAACAGTCATTTTTAAATATTAAATAACTCACACATTGACGGGCTAAATACATGACATTGTTTCGCCGTTGAGGAGTCCGTGCATCTCAAACCGGATATTACTTACGAAATAATAAAGTCCGAAACGATACGGACGGAATGTACAATTCCGAAACGTACACTCCCCCCACCATTTGTCCAGGGATATGAAAAAGTTCACATGTTCACAGTTTACATTTACACCTGTTCTTCAACTGGAAGAATCACAACTAATCGTCGAACTGATCTGCAAACCACCGTATCTGGACAACCACAATATTTAGGATCTTGGTTCAAATTTTTGTATCTAAGTTTTACATCCCGAACTTTTCCATCACTTCCTGGGTTTGCCTCCAAAACTTGTGCCAGTTTCCATTGACCACGCACATTATTTGAATCTTGAACAAGTACAATGTCACCATTTTGAATGTTTCTCCTTTCATGATGCCATTTCTGTCTTATAACAAGGGTATGAAAGAAATCTCGTGTCCATCTTCTCCAAAATGTATTCACCACACGCTGAACAAATTTCCATCTTATTCTGGGGTCCTTGCAATCATCCCAGTCTCCTACAGGGACTCTGGTGCTTGCCCGACCTAACAATAGATCGTTCGGACAAAGGTATGTACCTTCAGTAGGGTCGCAATTTTTTGTACCAATGGGACGTTCATTTAGTAGATTGGAAACTTCAAAGAGAACTGTTTGTAACTCTGAAAATGTCATAATTGCTGATCCAATGGCAGTCTCAAGAGAAAGTTTTGTTGAACGAATAAGCGACTCGCTGCAACCATTTTCCCAGGGTGCGTCCGCTGATTTTGTTGTCTGCCAATCCATGCCTCTAGCTTTCCCAAAATTCTTGATATCTTCCCAATCCCAAGTATGTACAACTTTTTGTAATTCTTTCCCGGCAGCAATTAGTTGAGTACCTGCATCAGAAATCATTTTTCTGGGATATCCTCTGATGGAAACAAAACGTCGTAGTACCATAAGGAAACTGCCCATGTCATATCCTTCTGCTACATCAATATATACTGCTCTTGAAACTAAGCAATTAAACAAGACACCATAACCTTTCCCATGGGTCCTCTTCTTAACTGTGTCCTTGATTACAAGAGGTCCAAACAAATCAACAGCACACATGTAGAAGGGAGGGGTCGGTTTAAGTCTTGTCTCTGGCATTGGACCCATCTGTTGACCTTGCATTGATTTGAATTTTCTTCTACATATTACACACCTAAATTTAATTCTGCTTATAATGTTTTTTACTTTACAGTACGGTCAACGCGGATTAGGCATTAAACCGCGCTCCCCCCGCGGTGTTTTGATCCTTTCCGCGATACACCCCCGCGGTTATTTCATAGGTATCCAAAATCTGCTTCGGATCTTTGCTAGAGTAACGTCTATTCCTGCATGATCTTCATTGTGTATTGCTTTCACTACATATTCTGTAAATACATGATTTGTAGGAAGAAGTGCAAATGTGGTCTGATTCCAGGTTTCTTCAATCCATTTACTCATTCTTTGTCCAACTGTAATAATTCCATCCTTTGTTCGTTCAGGGCCAAGACGTCGAAACCTCTGCATAACATTGTTTGGTAGGTCCATTTGAGCATGTAAAATCCAAGCCTTTTCAGCCTCTCTTATAACTTCAGCTGTCACATTTTTAAGAATCTTCTTGAATGAGTGCACCTTGAATATAAGTTGCAAAATACCAGTGAGTCTATATAGCTTATTCAAGGATGAGATTCTCGTGGTGTCTATCAATTCCAGTATCCGAGTCGAGGATTCCTTTGGCTTCACTTCAATATTTTCTGTCAACACACTGTGCACCAATGAATCCGGAATTTCTAAAACATCAACAGTTTGTTTCATTGGCCACTTTTCAATAGGATAGTGTAAGAATTCTGGTCCTTTCTGCCACCTTGAATCATTGTTTAATATGCTGGGATGTGTAATCCTTGTTGTAAGATCCGCAGGATTTTGATCAGAAGGAATCCAAAACCATTCAGCCTTTTGTGTCTTTGATTGAATCTCGGCTATCCTATTGGCGACAAATGTACCAAAACCGTAACTTTCCTTTTGAATTTGGGCACGGACAATTGCAGAATCAGTAAGATGAATTACTCTCTGAAATGTAAAAGTCATGCTTTCCACAATTTTTTCCCTTATTCTAGCTGACAGCACAGCACCGCAAAGCTCAAGCCTTGGAATGGAAAGTTGCTTAACTGGCGCAATCCGATTTTTTGCAAAAATTAATCTGACGTCATAAGTGTCTCAAGCAGTCTCCCATCTTATGTATGCACACGCTCCAAAAGCAAGATTGCTGCCGTCAGAAAAAAGCACCAAGACCGGATTTCCAAAGACATTAGTTGGTTTTAAACATCTGGGAATGCACAGGGATTCTAACTGAAAGAGTCCATTGAAAAATTCTATCCATTGTTGTCTCATTTCTGCGGATAAAGGTTTATCCCACACTTCAGACTTACTCTGGTTTCCTTGGCATAAATTTCTTATGAGAGATTTTGCACTAAGAGTGTAAGGAACGATCAGTCCTAAAGGGTCATACACTCCTGCAACTTGGCTGAGTACTATTCTTCTTGTCAAAATTTCAGGAATTTCCTCCAACTTATTGGTTGATTTCTCTTCATGGCTTTTATGCTTTGTTTTCTTGGAGAAGTTCAATCGCACTTTAAATGTAAATACATCATCAACAGGTTTCCACACTAGTCCCAACACCTTTTCTGATTCTGTATTTATTATGTTGATTTCATTAATTTCCTGATGATGGTCTCCTGATATAATCCAATGCTTTATGTGAAAGCCACCAAAGTCCAATACTTGATTGATATCCTTAGCCAATTGCAATACATTTTCAAATGTGGAATCTGATGCTAAAATGTCATCAACATAGCTGTTGTTTTTTATAACACTAGCAGCCTTTGGGTAAACATCTTCCAGCATTTCAGCTGTTTTATTGAGAGCTATAATAGCTATAGCACCACTGGGGCGATCTCCAAATGGAACACTGGTCAGCACATAATGATCTGGTGGTCTGTCAATTTCACAATTTCTCCATAAAAATCTGTGCGTATGCTGATCTTCAATGGAAAGATGAATCGAGTTATACATTTTGGAGATATCGCCTACAAGACCAACCTGATTTTCTCGAAACTTCAACAAGATGGAAAGAAGGTCATTTAAAACTTTTGGTCCTTTAGCCCAGTAGTCATTAATAACATGACCCATATAGGAAGCAGAAGAGTTGAACACAATTCGAAGAGGTGTGGATGATGATTCTGGTTTTAAAACCTCATGATGTGGAAGATAGTGCACAGGTCCTTTGTATGAAGTAACTTCCTCTGGTGATAATTTTCTAGCAGCCTTTCTCTGCACCATGTCATCTATCTGTTTTTGATATTCCTGAGTGTGTTCATCGCCAGTTTTTTTCAGTCGTTGTTCCGTTGACCGTAAACGGCCTATAGCAGCTTTTATGTTATTAGGCAGTTCTGAAGGATTCCGTTTCCATGGGTAATTTATGGTCCAGCATTTGTTGGCATCATCATGCTTTAATCCAGTCTCAATCATGTTCAGTTCATGCTCCTCTTCAATGGTGTAATGTCCTGAACCAACAACACAATGTCCACATCGACACCCTCCACACCTTGGTTGACAGTAGGTTCCTAAGCTTTCAATGTCTAGAAAACTATCAAACAGATCTTTTAGCGATTTAGTATTCATGATATGCATGGAATTTAATTCACTTCCCGACAAATGATTGATACAAAACGAGTTTGGCATTGCGGATACTTTAATCAGAGAATGACTTCCCCTCACACAATAACCAAATTGATTTTTCATCAGTTGAAGATTCCCGACGCCGTCAACTCTTGTGGGTAAAAGAACGCTACAGTCTGATCCAATCAGTAAATCAACCTCTCCACATGGTCTGTAGATATCAGAGTCTGTAATTCCATTAAATAATTGTGCTATTCCACTGACATCTACCTTGCCTGCATTTGTTGTAATTTGCTCCATACCGTATCCCTTAATTTGCCAGGTATTGCCATCCTTGTCTGTCAAGGGGATTATATATTCTTTGCTATGTAGTTGTTCCATAACATTTCCCACCTTCGTGATACTGAGGGTTACATCTTTTCCTTGTAAATTAAGTTTCCTTGCTGCACGATGTGAAATTAACGAAATATTTGATCCTGGATCCCACAAAGTTGATAGCGAAATATCCTTACACTTAACTTCACTGATCATAAGTAGGACATCTTCTCCAGGTTCTTTGCTATTAACAATTCTCACAATGTTAGCAACATTTCCCTCTTGACCTTCTTGATGCAGTGACGAGTGATGTAATTTTCCAGTATGTTCACATCCTTTCTTTTGAGGACAGTATTTCGAGATAAGTCCTGTTTTTAGACAAACAGCCTCGATTTTTTCTGAGTAAGTCCATTTTGGCACCAACGTCCTTTCCGTTGAAATTCCAACACTGAGAAATATCATGTGTATCACTGTTATGGTACCAGCTACTCCTTTGTGATGGCGAGGGTCGACTAAATCTTGGTAGATTTTGATTTGTTTGATGTCCTTGACGAACAATTTCATTGATGCTTGCTAGGCCGTCTACAACCTTTTGGAGGACTTCTTGATTGTGCTTCATCTGAACACTTAGTTGATCAACTGGAGAATGTGAATTTGTCTCTGCTACATGGTGGATTCTTGCTTTGGAGTTATTCCTTATTTCTGATTGCATGTATTCCATGGCATTCTTTTCTTCTAACAGAAATTCAAGTAATGGAAGAAATATCTCTAATTTCCCAGCGTGTTTTTTCTTTTGCAAAACCCATTCTCTCTTTTGTACAGGGGGTAGAATTTTTTCGATTTCGCTTACCATTGTCGCCGTATTCATCTCTCTCTCCATTTTCATTCGTTTCAAATCTAAATAACATCGTTTAATCACTTCTACACTATTTATAAAGCTGATATGGTCCCCATCGGCTATGACCTTGAGCTTCTGGATGTCACTCAAAATTGAATCTGTTAGTTTCTCTGGTCTGCCATACTTTAACTGCAGTCTGTGCCACATTTCTTCGTAATCATTATCCACTCCTTGAATAACCTTTAATGCCTCTCCGTGTAAGCACTTTTTCAGAGCGAATGGGTCTAAGCCATACGATGGTACCATAATACATTCATAGTCTCTTTTGAAACTTGGGTATTCCCGTATTGCACCGCTAAATGAAGGTGCATCAAGTTTTTTAACTTTAACTGTTTCCTTTTTTGTTTTTGTCTCTAATTCTTTTTGTTTAATCTTTTCTGCTAATCTTGTCACATGTAAACGGCAGTCACATAATTCACTGTACATTTTGTCCATGTCTTTATCAACATTTTCATGTTCACTTGCTTGTAATTCATTTTCTAGATCTAAAAGTTCTACATATTCTGCATGACTTCTTTCTAAATCATTATAGGACGTTTCTAGATCACCAAGAATATTTTGTAGTACACCATGGTCCTCCATATAACCTAATTCTCTAAATCTGTTGTATATTCTATAAAACTTGCCCTTTTGCGTTGAACGTCGACGCTTCTTGCCCTGTAGCTCAGGATCTTTCGACTCTTCGGGTGGCGGCATGTTCCCTGTGTGTCGAAATGTTGCACTTGGTCAGTTCAGAAATTCACACCGTCATGTAGTAACATTTATTGTTTCGACCTGTTAATGGATAGATATCTATTACAATAAATAACAGTTTGTTGTAATTATACAATTCTCATTATTATTAACAGTCATTTTTAAATATTAAATAACTCATACATTGACGGGCTAAATACATGACATTGTTTCGCCGTTGAGGAGTCCGTGCATCTCAAACCGGATATTACTTACGAAATAATAAAGTCCGAAACGATACGGACGGAATGTACAATTCCGAAACGTACATAAGCAATTGGTTTTGATCACTTTTCACACTGAATATCAGTTCTCCTAAAAAAGACATGTAAAAGTTATAACTATCTGTTAGGAGCAAATATTTCAATCTTGGGAATTGAGGCACATTATTTGTTATTTAATGAAAAAAAGGAGGAATCTCACCATTTTCAAACTTTGCACACAGTGCTGATTGTCGGAACACCCTGCTGTCATGAACAGATCCAGGCCAGTTTGCAATGCAACTTGTTATCTTAAATGTGTGGTCACAGCACATCTGTATATTAATTAAAGTGTAAGGGAATTTCACAATGGACAAAAATTTAATTTATTAACAATATAAGTATATATAGTACATTATGTTCCTGAAATGTGTATGAAAATAAAAATCTAGTAAATCAAGTCAAAATGAAATGATTTCAGATGTACCAAGATACTGTATTACTTTATTGGTCAGTAAGCATATGATAAGCATTATGACTTATAGGTAACTACATGTATATTCTTCTTTATTTCTTCTTTTTTTCAAAAATAAGTTTCTAAAGGATATAATATTATACAACTCTTACATTTTTGAATTGAATGCATTATTTTTCTGTTTATTCATTTAAAATTTCCTTATCATAAAAGATTAAATGACTTTCCAATAATCTCATTAGTTCCAGATGATCAAACTAGACTCATACTTTTACCTGCACATTCAAAGAATGATAGCCTTTTCTGTTGACATAATCTGCTTCATTCAGTTTTGGCTTCCTAATTCTTATCTGAGTGCCATCCAAGCATCCAAGGACATTTGGAAAACCTAAATTTCATTAGAATAACGAATACATGTGTCACACTCACTGGCCTCTCTAGATAACTTAATAATTAATGCAATTATTTAACATCAAATAATAATTAAGCTCTGTAATATATACTATATATTGTATTTATAAAATATTAATTATACAATACAAAAAATTTCAAATTTGATAAATAATTTTCTTTTTCTTGTGTTATTATTGTATATCACTAAAGTATTCAAAATTATATAGAGTCCCTGTTCTCTCAATGAAATTAAAGTGTACAGTCCAGTAAATTTTTTTTATTTAATAACTGCAATTAATGGACAAATATAATTACACATTCCATGTTCAATTATTAATTTATTTATCTTGTTTTGTTTTTTATAATAGTGTACAAAGTATGGAAAAAAGTGAAACAGTATTGTATTGAAGGTAATTTACGCTTTCATTAACTGGGGTCTAAAAATAACTGTAGGACCCAAATTAATGGGAGTCGAAACGACAAGGTGTCGATTTTCTGACGTCATTTTCAACAA